CCTCATTACCTCTTTTCACCCATCTCTCACTATACCCCTCTCTCATACAACCCCACTCTTTCTCACTACCCCCTCTCACCCTACCCCCACCCCACTTATCTCACTACCTTTCTACTCTCTCTCTCTCTCTCTCTCTCTCTCTCTCTTTTCTCTCTCTACCAAATAGGCTTAGTGTGCGCCAGTTTAGCTTCACAAGGGAATGGTCTACATAACGAAGCACTGTGTTGCCCACCCAGGTATCACTCAAGTATATTGCTGTTATGACCGGCATTATTCAGATGGGCTGCAGACATGGAGTGTAATTCTCGCGTGCATAAGCCCGAGAGGCTACGCTCTTGTTGGAGGTGATGGGAGGGTTGCGCAGAAATGGGGGTGAGGAAATAGGGGGATGAGGAAATAGGTGGGTAAGAAAGTACTGGGGATTGGGGTGAGAAAATAGTGACGTTAGTGTGAGGAAATGTGGGAGATAAGATAAGGACATAGAGGGGTGAGGAAATATGGGGGGATGAGGAAATAGTTGAGTTAGTGTAATAAACTAGGGAGGATGGGGGTGAGGAAATAGAGGCTATTGGTTTGAGGAAATGGGAGAGACTGGATGAGGAAACAGGGGGGTTGGAAAGGCTTGGTGTGAATAAACAAGGGAGGATGGGGTTGAAGAAATACTGGGGCACGAGTGAAGAAATAGGAAGACTAGGTAACTGGGCGACGGGGTGAGGAAATAGGGTGACGTGGTGTGCAGAAATGGTGCATTGGATGTGAGTGCATGAATGGCGGAGAGGCTGGGATGCAAAAGGGAATGGGGTTGCTGATTAAAATGGGGAATGGGGTTGCTGACAAAAAAGGGGGATGGGGTTGGTGTACAAAAATGGAATAAATTTAGGGTAAGGAAATGGAGAAATGGGAACGAGGAAATGGGAATGGGATGGAATCCAAGAAACAGGGGATGGGAGAGGGCAAAAAATGAGATGACAATAAAGGATAAAACAAAGACCGATGAGAGAGAGGAGAGAGAGAGAGAGAGAGAGAGAGAGAGAGAGAGAGAGAGAGAGAGAGAGAGAGAGAAATGGGGTACTAGTGTAGAAATGAAAATACAGGAGTGGGAGGTGAAATAAATGGCATGGGAGAGGGGAGAGAGAGAATGGATAAATGGGAAGAAGTGGAGAGGCGCAGAGATGAGAATAGAGGAATGGGGGTGGACAGGAGTAGGACTGAAGTAAGAAAGTGAGCGAGAAAGAAATGAGAGAGAAAGTGAGCGAGTGTGAAAGTGAGCGAGCGAGAGAATGAGAGAGAGGGCAATCGAAATGGAATTATAGTCACGATTTGAAAGGGATATTGTTAGAGGGCGTTGGTGGTGCTGCTGGAGGGGTGGTGATGGTGTTGGAAAGATTGTGGTGTTGAAGAAGAGGTGGTGCTGCTGGATTTTGAGTGGTGATGGTTTTGAAGAGATGATGGTGCTGGAGAGGTGGTAATGGCAATTGCAGGCTCCGGGTAGTCCTGCTGAAGACTGGCATTGACCTAGTAAAGTCCTGCGACTGCCAAAGCATTGTTGGAGAGTGAGACTATATAATGTATTATAATATACTTTGGTAGTACCTGTGCTGTTGTCGTAGCAAGAAATCGCCCTGGAGAGCATGGTGGAGAAGCAGATGGTGTTGGAGAGACTTAGCTGATAAATGGTGTGACTGTAGTAGGAGAGCTCAGGTGGCGTTATGAAGTGTATATTAGAGATGTTGGAGTTCCCATTGATGTTGGAGGATGTGTCACTGCCGTCGTTTGTTAGAGAGAAAGTAAGGGACGATGTTGTAGGAGACGGTGAAGGAAGGAGATACTTTTATTTAGCAAACAAAAGCAGTCACTAACATACTCAGTATCCTTCGATAATGCAGTTTTAGAACTGAATTATCTTCAGTGACTGAACTAAAATGTGGTAGAAGTATATATATATATATATATATATATATATATATATATATATTATATATATATATATATAATATAACACACATTAACACTTTTTTTTTGGAGTCCACCTCTGGTGTAAATTGTGGGACCCATAGCCTCTGAGAAATGGATAAAAAGGCTTCAAGGAAGAATAATTGGATTTCTTCCCGAAGCCGTTTAAATATTCCATTTACCCTACCACCCCATCTTTTCATTCTTTTTTACCAATAGGTATATTTTATTACATAATATGGTACTAAAGGTTTAAGAGATACATTGTTGATATGAAGATGGCATATTCAGTACATGAGATATGAGAGATACATGTCTAGTACATATTGTTGTGTGTTTGTCACTGAATATATATTATATATATATATAATATATATATATATATATTATATATATATATATATATATATATATATATATATAAAGCAGTTTTGACAATAATATGAATATTTCCTTTGGTTTATATAAATTAGATCCATTTATAATTAATAGAATTTGGGAAGAATTTAATAATACACTGGACAAATAATTTTTAAATTTTCTTGGG